ATCGTTCTCAAATCGACCTTGGCGATAAATGTCTGTAGTGTTTATAAATTACCAGCTGTGAGCACGGTATAAAAACAGATTCCCGTGAATTTTCTAGTTATTCTATCTTAGTCGAACAATATGCATAGGTACTTCGTGTTGTGGCCGAAGTATTTGATTATGCATTGAGTATTCAAGTCTGGTGCAACGCAATAAATCGCTTACGTAATAGTTATGAATTTGTTTAAAGAATTTAAATGTTAAACTAATTGTATTTGCTTCTATAGATATTATATCATCGTCAGTGTATTCGACTTGTGTTACCTCAATAAATATTACATCAAGATATTCCATTTCTGGCTTAATGTGTTCACCTTTACCGTCATTTAAGGTCGAGGGGTCAAGAATACTTTTTGTAATGATTCTTACTTCGCAAGATATTTTTGTTACCTCTATTATATTCAAACTAACATTATCTACTAATTCATTGTGAATTGTTGTTGATAATTCATAGTTATCGATATCATTAAGGGCAAGGCTTTCTAGTTAATGTTACGTTATAGTAAAGAATTTGTGGAATTCGTTTTCTTTCCAAATGTTGTTTGACCCTGAAACCTTTATAGGTACCTCGGAAATTAGATAATCACTTTCACTGTTTTTTTACTTAATGTTGACACAAAACTTGTTTTTGAATATTACGAACTTGGTTTACACCTTCGAATCAGAAAAAGAGAAAAAAGCAATCCCAAATCGATTCGATGTCTGAGTTTTCTTGTGGTTTTTTAGCATTTATTACAATTTCTTTCTAATGGCAGTCGTAAAAGGTAGGAAATCGTTTGTTGTTGTATAGCCTTAGAAAGTTTTTATATGAACTAATGATTGTTTTTTTATGGAATAATGTTTATTGAATTATACAAAGGTCTTATTGTTACTATAATAATATGCTTCGGTATCTAACAGTAGCGTAAAATAGGGAAAGTATCATCAACATACAAAACTAAGTTATTGAAAAAATTCGCTGTAACAGATAATACATTGGCTTATATACATATAAAGTTTAAATAAAAAAGATACATACGTCAATTACATCGTATGCTTGATAGAGAATAAAAGAGGCTTAACTCAAAAAGAAGTTATTTGAATCCTAAACAATATGTTAAAAAAATAAGGTTAAAATTTGAAACATCCTCTTTTATGAGTTAGTTCTGTTTTCTATTAAACATGCGAAAATCTTAATCCACCCAGCAAGCATATCTTTGCAATTACTTCAGCCTGTATTATCATCTCTAACACGTAACATTATATTTTTTTTCTAAAACCATTGTGTAATTCATATTGTGTAATCAGTGTCTTTGAAAGATGTACTTTATTATTATTATCAGTAAGTGCATTTCCAGATGACATGTCATTATATTCTTCTGTTAAGTAAATTTAAAAACAGATTGTTTGGAAGCTGATAGCATTGTATCTATATATATATATACATATGTAGTTGCTTAAATATTTATAAGAAGTGAAAAGATAGGGTTACTTGTTTCTTCTCCGATATTTTCTTTTAAATTATTCTAGTAGTCCTAAGATGGCTAATAAAAACCTGTTGATATATAGGTATATACTTCTGGTTCTGAAAACTGGTACTCTGCTTAAAATTTATTGAATAGAAATTTATTGTGCAGTAGCTAAACTAACGTATATTCTTCATTATATCAATGATCGTTCTAAAATTAAGGCCTTATGAAATACTTGTTTACATTTTTATCTATTTTTTCTGAACAATATCGTTACTTAGGAATAATATAAGTAATCATAATAAGAGTATTTCAACTTAAAAATGTAACTGTTATATATTCCAAGATTCTTATTCTATTTCAAGAACGATTTTTGGATCCACTACAGCCGTATTTACATTTTGAAATTTAACTTCTGCAAAACGCATTGCTTTTGTGCATACAATTTAATCTGTATAACATTTGTTCGCGTCAAACAGTGTGGGAGGTTACCAAATATGTTTTATTGGGGATCCATACCAAAATGAGATCCTGTTACCAATGACCCCTCTTCTTCTGAGTACGTCCCCCTTGCACTAGTAAGTATAAGGACAAGGATACCTATCAGTTTATTTCTTTTCTGTAGCTTTTTTAAACTTTCGTTTTTTAATACATCATTTAGTTTATCTGTCCCAGTCCTAGACCACTATCTTGGAAACTGGTAGGTGTAGACTTTTTTACTGGTGTCATTGTATGTTTACCATTATTCGACCGAAGATATACCTACTGTATACCATGGTGTATGTATATCATAATCATTATCGTCAACTGTTTCCTGCGCTGCTGGAGAAAAGTTTGATCTTTCAAACAGCAGTGCAGTAGGTGTGGATCCTAAATGTGCATTGTAATTCGCACTTGGCAGTTTCTTGTTTTATAAGTGAGGTACGAGTACATACATCTTTGTAATGACGTAAAACATATCTTATTCTGGTGCCTGGCATTTGCATAAGCAAACAAAAAATCAAGATATACGCAATTGTTCGTCTGCAAACATTTTGCAGTCTTATAAGTACAGCGTTAAAAGGTCATATGTTGCACATATTTCACGCAATATTTTAAATAACGTAGCATTATTTTTATATCAAACAGTTGAGATTTCTTTGCATGGGCGTCGCGAAAGTATAATTTTTATTCTTGCGATTGAATATTATCTTTTTTCATTTTTTCTTAGTAATTTATGCAAGCCGCTTACTTTGAGTAATACGTAAGGTGTTCGAACGATGTGAGAAAACCAGTTAATGTGAAAAAAGTATGAAAGAAAAAGGTTTCTATAGTTTTAAACTTTAGTTTTCTTGAGGTACCTAATAATTATTTAAGTAAAACATACTTTAGATGTCAACCACGTTATCCTTCAAAGACTTGTTCTGTAAAAGAATCGAAGGTTAATACCTCGTTAAACATAATTCATCTCATGATATCACAGCCACTCCTTAAAAGTCATACTACCTTTTATAGCGGCGCTTGTCTATTACAACTATTCATTAACAACTGACATTGATCTGATTCCTTTAGGTCAGATCGCCTTGTCACAATTGATTGCAATTATAACATAATCAATACTCATTATACATTACAAATCGATACTTTTTACACTCAATAACTGGCCAGTTAGACTTGTATCGAATTACAAATTTAAATAAAAAACGAACACGTAATCATAGACTCAACGTCAACAGCAAATTACTCATGTTTTTATGCCAGTATTGCCAGTCGTTAAATTATAATTTTAAGCTGAAGTTTGCAAATATTGTAAAGTTCAATGTCTTACTTAAATGCTGATGAATTATTTTTGTGCACTTGTTACAATACACGAGTTGTTATCGTTTAAAAAATAAGCGTTCGAATATTTGAAAAAAGAGTCCGTTATTTTTATATTATTATGCTTCTCTTTAATTTATGTTCAAATCCTGGTTTTTTGCATATAATACAATTAATTCTATTAAGTCTATAATTGGTTTTGGTGTGTCTATAGTGATTTATTATGAAATAAATAGAGAAATTATTATTTAATGTCTACGCCTTTCAATTTGATGACAGGAATCTATGTGTCGTGTAGGAAAGTGGCTCTGAGACCCGTTCTATCATACATGTCGGTAACATACGACAGTTTCACTTCCACACACTGCTAGACTGCTAATCACTGTGACATATCACATTTACACTTAAAGGCTAAGGTAGAATTCTATAATCAGTTCCTGCTCTTAAAAAACAAAAAGTTCTTAGCTTCTGTAAAAAAATTTTAATACTTAAAATTCGAATACCTAGGTATTATATAAAACGAAACATTTAGCCATTATCAAGATATGTCTGTGTAACAAATACCAAGTTTTAATTACTATTAACCGACATTCTATTGTTGTTTACAGATAATCCGTTAATTACATTTGTCAGGCTAACGGAACGGGCGGACATTCTAGTTCGTCTTGGAGTACCGCTAACATTGAATTCTCTGTTAGACACTGGCATGTTACAATTGTTCCGAGTGATTGATTCGCTTGTAGTTTTGAAGTTGGAACGTGTTCCATTTATAAATATTAGTCGTTTATGTCAATGTTAACTAAAATTAAATGGTGTCAGTGTCGCAAACATGATATCTGAGTACTAAAAGAATGACAATTGACAATGCTTTATTTAAAAACACCTCTGCCCTTAAAAGATTATTTTTAGTTGTTAAATTTAAGTAATATAACTTTATCTCGCTTTTAGACCAAATGCCTAGGATTTTCACATTACCACATTTTTAACGTTGCAACATAATTATAAAGAAAGCGAGCACTACCAGAAACGATTTATGATGCAGTAATCTGGTCAGTTCAGGTCTGGAACTCATGCGCACCCGTTCACTAGAACTTATTCAATTGTTAAAGAACTATCATTATTTTCAATTAAGACCTCGATTTGATAGTATCAAAATAATTCGTGACGTTGCGTCATTGTTTTAAAACTATAGCTCCGTTGCTCTATGGTTTTAGTATTAGGGTGAAAGAACTTGTTGTTGGCACTGAATTATATTTTGACACTGAGAATTTTATAATGTTCATCTGCCAAATTGTCAATTAAAGTAGTTCACTTGCTTAAACTAAATTTAAATTTTAATAAAATAAACCCTTTCAGTGTTCTGTGAATCAGATGTGACTCATTACATCATTCGGCTACCGTTCTTACAAGGAAAACGTTCTTTATCGAACACGTGTTTTAAACAATGTTTGAAAATATTTTAAGCCTAATTTTTACATAGCAAATGATACATAAATATATATAGATTTAAAGTAAAAAAATATCAACAAAAATAATATCCTGTTTCTGGCAAATGCATGCAAGTACTTTTACCCTAATATCTTGTCTATGGTATTCAAACTCAGTAGAGTAGTGACTTAACACTTTATTTAATAGTTTCATTACACAGTGGTGTGAAAGTGATGTATTGACCGGACATTACATTATATTATATCACAGTGATTCATTTGCCACAAAATGAACATATCTGCGACTACAACTGCTGTTACAAATGAGGAAGTTGGTAAGTTTTTTAGTTAAGTAATAATTAGTTTTAATAACCTCTTGCTATTTAAGAAAAACTGAGAGACATTTAAAAATATTGTTATTATGCAAATAGTTCCGACGCAAATAGGAAATTTCCGCGTTTAAAAATATGAATATTATTGAAACAATGTTTTATGTTTATAAACTTTTTAAACACTGCCTTTTAAGGATAAAGAGAGTAGTTCATTTAGTAGGAGTGAATGGCAAGCTTTATTTTTATTGAATGCCATTTGAGTTCGGTTTGTGGTTTCCAATTTTCTCTTGATTGTAATGGAAATTCAACTTTCGAATGCTATCTATATTTTTTCTACAAATAAAAAACCTTAATGTAATGTAAACCAAGAATAAAAATCTATCGACGTCATGGCGTGCAAAAATACAGTTACTGCACTTTATTGATGTATTTCAATATAAATAGTATGCTAATTATAAACACGGACACACAGAGCTATTAACGGACTTGTTTCTCTAGCATTAGATATAAAAAAAAAACAAATATACTAAAGCAACGATACTTAAGTAAGATATTAATATAGTCAAGTTATGGGTAACTATTACTACTTACTACCCGAATGACAAGTAGCCCATATGTTATTCCAGACTATAATCTATCTCTGTGCCAATTCTCATCAAAAGCCATCCAGCAGTTCTTACGTGAAAGAGTAGCAAACATCATAATCAAATCATACCTACTTTCGCGTTTATTACATAAGTACGTGCACGTCCAAGCAGAGTTTCAAACCAAAATAGCTTTTGAAGCAGTAACTTTGTTTTACTAGTTTATTTAAGTAGCAGCTTTACTTGAGTACATTTAAGTATAGGCAAGTAATAGGTAGATACAGTGTACTTGACCCGACAGGACTTGTTCGCCTACAACTTACCATCCTACGCCTGTCAGCAACTCCACGCCAGATCTTCAAAGTACGCCATTTTCCCTAAGCGCTTTAGACAAAGATTAATAATTCCAGAGTGGAAACTAAAGAGAGTTTGTGACTATTAAACTACGAAAGACAAAAAGTAGGTCTTATGTGAGTACTGATCTCCACCTTTAAGAAGACAAGTAATTCGATTTGACTACGCGACATACATTTAAAACATAATCTCAAAGTGGTTTCGACATGTTTCGTTAACGTGTCGTAGCTATTTGCACCTCAAAAGCCCATACGAAAGAAAATGGCTGAAGAAGAATATTCAAATGTTTGGGTATAAATCTTCTAATTTTAAACTCTACAAACTCTTTTGTATATGTCACGCCACCGAATTCCACGTCTTTGTTTAGTCTTTGACACTTAATTAATCCAGAACCAGTACCTATTTCATATCTTCCATCCTAATATAACCTCTATGGTCGTACGCCTACGCAAGGATAATTTGCAGCACTATGGTCGGATAGAATAATGAAAGCTGGCGAAATTATGAATCAGGATCGTGCGTGAGTGTCAAAAGGGCGTTGTTTATATTGTTTTTTGTCAAAGTTAGATACTCATCCTTTTGTTTGAGGAAGATTCAGTTTTGTCTTTTTTTTATGTAATAGGTCGGCAAACGATCGGACGGACTACCTGATGGTAAGCAATCAGCGCCGCCCATGGACACCCGTAACGGAGGAGTTACGAGTGCGTTGCCGACCTTTTAGGGATTAGGGATTGGGTGATTTAGGAACTGGGGAGGGATTGGGAAGGGGAAGGATTGGGCCTCCGGTAACCTCCCTCACGCGGCGAAACACAACACTGGTTGTTTCACGCCGGTTTTCTGTGAAGCCGTGGTATCACTCCGGTCGAGCCGACCCATTCGTGCCGAAGCATGGCTCTCCCACACTTGAAATCCAACATGTTACGTTGATCAGTGATCACACAGACCTATTGTTTGCTTTTTTTAATCTTTCGATATTAATACCCACTCCAATCATTACACAATCCCCAACCGTATTTAAACACAGCCAAAACTAATTACTACACATAAAAATCAGTAAGTAGATTTATTAGACAGCGAACTAAATTAGAAATCTCGAGTATATAGACTTTTCATATTAGTTCACAAAACAGCTACGAACATCATCAACATCTTAACTTTTTTCAAACCATAAACAAAAGACGATTAGTTCTATATTTAACTGTTAAATTCGTGAGTAGGTCACTAAAGGGATCTGGCGCTTATGTGTAATTTTAAACGTCCATTTGTTCGTTTCCATGTTGCAACTGCACTGCGCAACTCCTGGCAAAAAGTGGCTCTTGTTATGCCAATATATCTGGCAAGGACACCGTAAATTGGCAGCGAGACCGCGGTACAATTGTATTTAAACTCGAGTATAATACATAGCCAAAAACTTATTGAAGAAACCTGGACAATTGAAAGAGGCAATTATTTTTCGTTTTCTTTTCTTGTTGCCAACTTGTGATTGGCACTGAAACGCCAGAACGCCTGTAGTCAGAGGCATTTAATGGTTACTTTACTTCCTTCCTTGTTTAAATAAAATCGTTACTAAGGAATTGTTTAATTAATCATTAAATGTTCCTGAGTAAGGCAGAGTTTGACTTGTATATCAGTGAGGTTAGTTGTTAAACATGTTACGTGATGTAGACTCCCATACGACACCAACAATTCCAACGGATGATGTAAAATTATTTATCAGACCTGTTGTCGGTTTGTCTGAGAATGCAAGTGTCCATTAACGACTGTCAAAGAAGTTTGTAAAACAAATCGACGTCTTTTGCAAGTCCGAACAAACAATAGTAAGAATTTCACTTCAGATTTCCCCACGCTAAAAACCTTAAACAATGTGACTACATTAATTAAAACTTATATAACTTTAAAATGTAGTATTAAAAGAAAAGAAAAAACTATTCATTCATTATACACGTAAGCGAGTATTATTATTAATAATGATTTGATTCATGCAATAAGTTCCGGCATAATTATTTTAGGTTACAGCGGTTTAATGCAAGCAATGGTCGCACATAAATTGGTATGTTATGGCGTTGCGTGATTGAATTATGATCAGCTACGAAGCTAGATGGTCTAATTATACTATATGCTACTTCAAAAAGTTTAATACGTAATTTCGACTCCATAATTTACTTCCATAACTATGTAAGCTATTATTAGTCCGTCCAAATGCCTTCTTTTATCTCTTTATAAACAATTGAATATAGGAGCTTTATTTTGGCTTACTTCAGAAGAATTGAGCGATGTTCATTCCTATCACTAAGGCAAGTTGGATTTGATAATCTTGTTTCTTAGCAGTTTCAATTCTGAAAACATTTACATCCACGATCCTCGTGTCTAATATTAATCCCTTCAATTTTATCCTTCTGATATTTTATCTCTATCTATCTTCGGATTTATAACTGTTAACCACATCACATCATCTGCCCATAAGTGCCCACTGCTGAGCAAAGGCCTCTTCTCATACTGTTAATAATAATTAAATTAATAGTTTCGCTATAAAAACTTCATCTGACCTTTTCTATCCATCGTTGTTCCATATCTTAGCATTAGATCTATAAAAATGGTCATAAACTTAACGGTCATTTTTGAAAATAGATTTCAAGGTTACTTATACTAATACATATTTTTTATTTATTCTAAGTCTCCGTTTCTATGTTATCATATTTTATTTATTTTCTTATCGTTTCTAAACAAGGCCGTTTCATTTCAGTTTCTGAGTTTCTATTGTGACTTCATTTGTTTGATTGCGGTCAAGACCTCGTCTTGATAACCTCTGATATCATATTCTCTTCGCTTGTTAATCCATCTAGCTCGAATGCTCGATTCACTTAATTATGTTGAGTAGTCTCGTCAATAAAGTCTTCGTGTGAAGTGTCTCGTGTCGAATCGTTCACTAACTGGGTGTTAGTGACTTTTAGCTCTCGAGGAAATTAGTTCCTTAGAGTTGTAATTTAGTTTGCTTTTCCAAATTCTACTTGGATTAACTATTAAAGTGTCATTTACACAAATTGAATGTTAAATATAACCTGTGGATACCATAGCATTCGCAGTTTTCCCAGGAGCTCACCTTGCAGCCAGTTTGCAATCTGCATACATAATTTCCATTCATATTGAATGCTATATCTCTAAGATCTATGAAGAAACTCAATATCTCCTCCGGGGTCACCTTGCATTCGTTGCGCTGTACTTACACATTGCAACAATATTTCTGTAGCTAAAATAAATTCTATACCACGGTCTCAAAGCACTTTTTCCTGTGACCCATTTACAACTATAACTTTGGTTTCGTCTACCGTTAGTTTTCCGTCAATCACACCTTATTTGCAAGTGTGTGGCGTCAGGACATTGCAATCGGCACCTTATTGTGTTTCTCAATAGGTGTATTTTGGAGCACTGCTCATATTCTTATGACAAAAGACAAAGTTGTATTTGCATTTGGTGAAATAGTTTATTGTTAGCGTTTGCTTGTTAGCCATCGTTAGTGCGTTGTAATAGAGACGTGGCGGGTTTCGCCGGGCTCTTGTCAATGTTTGCCTGGGCGTCGCGGTGCACAGTCGTGCAACTTCGACCTTGCTGTCGAATCCTGCGCATGATCGAGTTGACGGCTTCTTAATGGATTGCTACGTACAGTACCCAGGTATTGTTTGCTGTGTTTTAAAATACTCTTGTGTTAGTACATCATGATCGTGGCTTGTAAGTGTTATGTGAATTTTGTCAGTTCAAGATTGCTACTTTTGTAAGTTGTGATGATTTATCAGAAATAAAACTTTATCAGTATTGGATAATATAATAGGATAACATTAATCAGTAAAGATTGTACGTACTTTTGACGTAATGTTGGATAAATGTTGTTCCAATACTTAGCATATTTTTTTTACATTGAAGTGTTAATGGTGTCATTAGCATTGAAACAAATATTGATGACTTATTACGAATTCCGTCCGCAGTAGTTTTATGAGGTGCTCGGGTGCATCGTAATCGCTTACTTTACAATCTGTTTGCTTTCACCGATCAGGGATGTGAGATTGTCAT